TATATATATATATTCTACAGATCGTACATGAGGATGATTGTTAGTCGAGAAAATGCCTGAATACCTGAACCCTAGACCGTCTTCCTGGACACAAACAAAGTTTCAATATACCGTACTTTCCCTAGGAAAAAGCAGCTGGGAAAAGAGTTTTGTTGTACAAAAAGCCTGTAGATCTACATTTTCTCACGCGAGCTTTACTTTCAATAAGAAATTTATCAAATTAATTTAAGGTCATGCATTTTTGCTTCCCACTCCCTGTGATGTCATAGTGTGAGCAGAGACTGGTGTGAGGCATGTTTTATAAAGTTTGTGACGTAAACAGCGGACTTGGCGCTGCCGTGCACATCGAGGTGGGGACAAGATAGAGTGCGCAGTGACGGATAATTTTTGCAGCGCAAGTTCGCCACGCACGAGAAGTAAAAGTAATCTGCACCACGCAATTACCGTCGCGTTGCATGCAATAATTACTGTTTTTGTCCTTTGAAGTATACGAGCGTAAAGTCTCTGCCTGTTATTACATTTTCAAGGTGATTGGATGACGGGTGCTCTAGTGTGGTTTGCTCCTTCCTTCCTATCAAACACCTATCGTCTTTATCTCTCCTCCTGTTTTTTTGTGTATGTTACTCTCTTGTAACACATCTATTCTTCGGCACTTATATGACCTTATTGTGTTGCAAGTGCCGTAAAACTCTTACTTAAACTAAAAGAAATCTGTACCACGCAAATACTGTTGCATGCAATAATTACTGTTCTTGTCCTTTGAAGGATTTTTCCTGCAAGTGTACGAGCGTTTTGCTTCAGCCTGTTTCTAAACCATAGCCCTACTCATTTTCAAAAGAACATGACTTCCAAAATCAGACAATTGTCTCATTGTCTGTGACATAGCAGTGATCCACTTAGTCGTGGTACGCATTAGACATGAGTTTCATTCCTTAGGATAAATTATTATTGAAGATATTTTACACGAATATCGTTAGTGTTAGCCTTCGTGTCCATTGGGACAGACACGCCCCGATTTTTTGTCGGGAGGAGGAAAATGGGTCAGGTCGTTTCCTTCTGTCCTATGTGTCCACACAGTTCGGAAAAGACACGTCTAGTCTGTTGGCCTACTTATTCCCCGGATGTGTAGGCCTACGCTAGACCGCTGTCGTGGCGGGCTGTGTTCTAGGTTCGGGGTTATAAATCGTCAAGAAGTCACATGAAAGAAATGAATGGGTTTTAAAAGGAAATTGATAAAATTGTTAATATGCAT